TGAAAATTGCATTGCACTTGGTTTTCAAAAGGGTGACAACATGCAAATTGTGAAGCATGTTGATGGGTATGTTGATTAAATCTTGATATCTTGATGTTGATGATGATGGTGATGGTAATGGTGATGATGATGGTGATGGTGATGGTGATGGTGATGGTGATGGTGATGGTGATGATGATGATGATGATGATGATGATGAGATGTTGATGTTGATGTTGACGCTGATGTTGATGTCGTGTTCTTTCTGGGCCACTTCAGTCGTATCGCCATTCACGCGTGTTCGTTTGCCTCGCAGGCAGGCGCTCGCCACCCGTATGTAGCAGTATCGTTAGATCGTTGGCTGCGCCACGATGGAAGCAGTTAAACATCAGAACATATAGATCGTTGATGGATATATGATATATAGTACAGATTTACCATGATTTACCTATCTTCACAAAGTCGAAGATCAAGTCGAGTCGATGGATCACTGGAAATTGGAGACCCATGGCGTGATTCGTATTGCCTCAGCCAGGGACTAAGCTCTTGACTAAGCGTTCATCATCACTATCCGACACTGTCACCAGTGCCTTCATCCAATGGAATCCAAAGATAGCAGGCTCTTCAATCTTTTACTACCCCTCTGAAAATATTAGTCAGTTGGGATGATTATTCCCAATATATGGAAAAAAAATGTTCCAAACCACCAACCAGATTAGGTGATAGTTCTATATAATCTCACCCACTATAGGGAGATAGGGTTGTACACAATCGATATCTAAAAGGTTCAAAAAGATCATCATGAATGCTGACAAGATTTACTCAACAGTTTACTCAACAGTCTAATCAACATTTAGCCCATTTAGCCAAGTATCAATGGATTGGTTTTCTTGGGACATCTTAACCGGAAACCATGGGATTTTACCATGGTTTATCATCAAAGATGGGGGGGTCCTGTAATTGTTCCTTTAATGTGGGTAAAACAATGCCATACATAAACCATCCCCAATTTCACCATGAAAATGGTATGCTTGGTATGGTTCCTATTCCCCATGGGTGGTAAAAAAACAATTTTAAGTTTTACCCACATTCAGCGCCTCGCTGAAACTCCCCAAACTTCGCAGCGCAGCATTTGACCGCCAGGCTCACCTTGCGCGGCACAGCGCTGGCAACGCTGGCCACGACAGCAAGCAGCGACCAACGACCACAGATGGAGTTCGGGGCCTCGCGGCCGAACGATGGGATTTACACAGACAAAAAAGTAGCTTCCGGAAATGGGAAAATAGAGGATCAATGGAGGTTTTAATATCTTTTCTTTAGGCTAAAATCAAATATAGAATGGGAGATAGGGGATAAAATGGTATAGAATCCGTGTTTTTGACCATTGCAAGATACTTTTCCATCAATAAATAACAATATAGTCAAGGATAGTCAAGGTATATTGGACTAGGTCACTAGGTCTGACATACAATTCGATATACCCTCCGGTGTCATCAAACATAGCTGGCTGGGAAATAGAAAGGGAGGTTTATAGCTGGGAAAATCAGCTATTCATGGGAGATTTTCCAGCAAGCCATGCTTGAGGAGGGTACCTGGACCCTCCAAGTACCCATAAAACTTGTGTATAATTGATAGGGAAATATATCAATGATTTTGGGACCTTTAGCAATTTTCTATAGTAATTATGCATTCAAGATAAAGAATTCACGCATGAATCATGGATTTGGGTGAACATGATGATAAACCAGTGGAATTTAGGGGTACCCTGTACCCTATTTTCAATCAAATCCAAATGGAAGTTGAGATCAGTTCAGCTGATGTCACTTTTTGACAGGAATTCCATGGCAATTTCCACCAAAGAGAAAAAGGGTTCCAGCAATGTGTCCAGATGACACGCCTGGAAGCCCAATAACCATGGTAACCATATGTAACCATGGCTCAAACTTCGAAGTTCATCCATATGTTTTTTCGAAAAGCTAAATTTCTCGACCAAAAGAAACACCATACGACCATACCCAAAACCCGGGATCCAGGCACCGGGTTGCATCGGTTCCATCTGCCGATTTCTCCTGCCTGGGATAGCCAATGACCCAGCGACCATGATTTCGTAGGGATGTAAAGAGAGGCCAGTGTCCACTTGGTAAGATGGGATCATGATGGGTTTCTCCCAATCCGCCTTTGTACTTCAAGAAAATTTGAAGCGGAAACTCCAACAAGTAGAGTAGATGCCAAGCAGCGCCCTTCTTACGCGCAACACGCAACTTCATTTTCACACGGCAGAAATCACCTGCAGAATCTCAGAATCATCTATTGCGTTCCAAAAGACAGGATGCCAAAAACGGGGTGCCAACAGTAAGAAAAACGCCCCGCAAGCGGCTTTGACATGGGGGCCCAAGAAGTCTCCTGGGTCACGTTGTATAAAAGGCCAGCGAAAAATGCCACTGTCAGCACACCCTTGCACCTGTTCCTCTGCCCGCGAAAAAGCTATCATAGTTGCCACTGCACATTGAATCATCAGAAGATTAAACTGAGATGCTGGTATATCAAGGCAAATCTACGATAATCTACGTATGTTGTCCTGTTTTTTCAAGCAGAAGCCAGAAACAACATGGGGAACTTGGACAACCCAATTGAAGCCAAGACAGGCAATCCACAAGACACAAACATGGATTGATGGTGTCAACCCATCCCCATCCACTTCGAACAAATGGCGAAACGTGGGGTGGATCTCTGTGGCTGAAGCTTCTCACAGTCACAAGCTGCTCACTTTCTTCTGATGCTTCAATCCCTAGCAGTGCAAATTGTGTGCACCGAAACGGAGTTTGAACAGACTCCAACTGTAGCGCTATGGGCGGAGGTCCACAGATCTCAAGCGAAAAAAAGTGGTGTTTCACCATCAGAAAACGTGATCACTGCAGGTTTGTCTGGAGTTGTTTGATGGTTTATCATGGTTCATCATCATTGTCCCTATTCTATGTCAAACATATTCTAAGATGGATTATAAATTGATGGGAGCCCAGGGCAACCCCGAGAATAGCTATGTTTTCCAGGTGGGAGTGTTTGTCTTGCGACGAGTGGCCTGTTCCTGAACAATCTGAACCACATTGAACATTGAATGCAAAAAAAACAACTACACCCAAAAATCTCATGATATATCATCATCAATTTCCACAAGATTACAGTTTCAGACTATTTATGGATATCCGAAATTTTGGAGAAACTCAAATGTTCATCAAGGTCTTCCCTCTAAAACTGTCCTTGGCTGACGAGTTCGTCACCATAGCACTGAAACGGCCCGCAAGAGCAGCATGTCTGCAGAACATCGCAACGAGGGGAATATTATCTCTGTGTTTGTTTTCTGATTGCTGGTTTTACCATTGTTCTACCATGTTTTAACATGCTCTGCCCGAAATGCCAATCAAACGTGGCAATTGCCTATCTTTCAAGCCATCCCGATCCCACCATTTTTTCATCTTGGATCAAAAATGCTCGAGACTGGGGAAACAAAAAGGTAGCAATAAGGCTTTAGAATCATTTAATTATTATAGATAAACAAATCGAAACATCTTCTAACCCATAACACAGACCCGCAACATGTGCTTTGGAAGAATCATTCCCTCTAGCGACAATTCTCAGCGTCAGATGTTGAGGGGATGGTACTTGAATCCACCCAAGCAGTGAAAAAAATGGTGCCCGTCTTCCAGTCACTTCCGGTGACACTTCTGGTCCTATGGTCATAACCCTCATGGTCGAATGTATAGTGCTAGAAATGAGCTGTTTACGAGTGGATGTACTGTCAAAAAAATCATCTCTGACACCAAAAATAAGAAACAATCAGCTAGTGCAGGTATGGCTCAACATTGTTAACCTCCCCCCCAAAAAAAAAGCATAGTGTGATATAAACAAATGCACAAACGACCAATCAATTTTGGATCGTCCATTGGTAAACCCAAACATAAACCCAATGTGGCAAACCCAAAAATAATAGCCCCAATAGAGGTTATTGTTAGGTATACCAGTATTTATGATGTAACCTGAGCCTCAAATGGTTGGTTAATGCGATGTTTTATGGCATCGGGTTTCTCACATTGCTACTCATCTATTATTGGGATGATCATCTATTACCCATTTCTACTCACGTTAATCATGTTTAATCCATATATATATACTATTATTATCCATTGTTTTTATACTGTCTGCCATTATGGCATTGGGAGTACCATGGTTTACCACGTGAAATTGCCACGTTTTGGAACTCTTTGGTATTGCCTTTATGGAGTTCCTCACCTTGCCATGCTCTGCAGATTCACCGTGGTGCGATTCACCCGCTGGCGGAGCTCCAGAGATGGCGCGCAACGTCTTACAAATCGAAGGGCGCGCAGAACAGGTCTTACAAATCCATACCGTTAATGATAGACGGCCAGAAGTTCATTGTTAATTCTTCAAGTTCTTATATATTTTTTATTTACTATAATTTACTATTTACTGGTGATGGCCAAATATGAGATCTTTTTTGCTGGTATGAACATATCCCATATATTCCCTATTCTGGCGAAGATGACTTGTGGTCTGCCCTGACGGGATCCAGGTCGCAACCAGGTCGCCAGGTCGCAAAACACCAAGGTGCCACCGTTGTCACCGTTGTCATATGGCTATGCTGATTTAAGCATCAACAAATGGCAGTGTGTCAAAACCTTGTACCCCTGGTGAACATCAAAATAGCTGGTAAATGGATGTTCATCCTCCTAAAAATGGTATTAATAGGTATTAATGGGTATTGATCCATACCCAAATCAAGAAATGATGATATTCACCAAACCAAAGATTTTTTTCAGGATTCAAAAGCCAAATTGAACACCGCAAAAACCACCAAAAACCCATCCCAGGTGAAACCGTGAAACCCCCAAATGTTTGATGATTAAACCCGTTTTTTTTAATGCTCCATAAATTCCAATTGATGATCAAAACCCCGCAACATTTCCCATGTGTCATGGTGAAATGTCCCATTTTTCCATATTTTTCCAAGGTGAAATCTGGCGAAATCTGCGAAAAAGTTAGACCTTTTCCAAGCGTTCCTTCACCATGGCCGCCAAGGAATCACTGGTCTTCTTGGCGTCGCCCAGCAACATCTCAGTGTTCTCCTGGTGGAATTTCTGTCTTATTATAGCCATTTATTATATAAGACCTTGATATATATATATAATATATATACCCTGATATATTTATTTATTCTATCTTATGAATAATCTTATAAGATCTTATAAGTATTGTCTTTGATAATACCCACGATATTATTATGGTACATCAATCCTAAGCCTACTTGTGGATCATTGTTTCGATCATTTGATATTATTTGATGATGATTTCGAATGGAAACCATGGGAAACTCCATGGGAAATTCCAAATGTAAAATGTCGGAGGGTAAGATGAACAAATGGGAATTCTGCACAAAAGTTGGTTCCTTTTTGGGAGTCAGAAGATGCGTCCCAGGGACGGATCACCAGCTATGTTGCAGTATTTTGCTGCTTACCGGGCTGAGGCTTTCCTATTCCGAAAATCAGCTGTCACCGAAATTGGGATCTGCATCCGTCCAGTCTTGGCAGTCGCCTCTAGCAGAATTTGAGGAGAGACTCCTTGATGATACCAATCACATCCAACCACTATGCCGAGAAAAGGAGCTGATATGTGGATAGGGCCCTCAGTATCGTGTGGTGATAACCCACCATGTCCACTATTCATCCACTATTAAACCACTATTAGTCCACTATTAATTCACTATTAATCCACTACTATTCCACTATTATTGCACTATTATTCCACTATTAATCTTGTTTCAAAGAGACGATTTTGTAAAGGAGCATACACCCCATCTCACCTTGTAGAAGACTGGATTGTCCAAATCCGCATAGCCTCGCCAGCGAATGTAAGCACATGTGCCATGCGTAAAATGCGTGTGTCCCAAGACTTCTGAAACCCGTGAATAACAATGAAACAAGACATGTCAAAACATGGCAAGGCTACATCTTTAGCCAAAGGGAAACATCACAATAATAATACATAATAATACAATATATGTGTCTGATAGTTTGTGTTTTTTCTTGTTTCTCTACACCATGTTCACTTCATTGACTACTCCACCTCCGATGTCCAAAAAAAAATCGGCACCTCCACCCATGGATCGCTTGCAGAAGATCACCTTCTTGGATCTCCAGACTTCAATCACTGGCATGCCCCAAATGGCACAGCCTTCAAGCTCCTGAACCGACACGACACGACACGACACGACAATGAGGACCAGGAGTTGACCATGGCAACGAAAATGCCGCCTTAGCCAACACTCCAAAAATGTAACATCATGAAAAAAACCCTCCAAAAATCATGTTTCATGATATGACTCATGACGGTTTTACCCACGCCTGAGCTGCCGAGTTCACCACATCGTTGGCTCCAACGACCAGCACCACGTCCTGGTTTTCCATGTCAGGGTTCCTGGCCACGCTGAAAAAGTGGATGAGACAAAAAGTTGGTCCAAATGATTCGAAATGGTTGGAATATATTGGGATGTGTTGAAAAAGGTTGAATTCCAGTTGGTGCGGAGAAAGCATCTACTGTATCCGTTATTATAGTATTTCACCAATATATGTCTCCGCCTTTCACTTATATGGATGTTGCCAAAATTCGCTAAATGGTTTGTAGCTGGGGTATACGGTATATCCTTTCCTTGCTACCCTTTTGTAGTTCAACATAGGCCATCTATACCGTATATCATACCATATAATCTAGAAATTGGTACTGAGGGTACATTCCAGACTCTTATGGGGTCATAAGATGTTACCCTCCGGTAGCATAGCTATAGCAAATGGACCACAGAAATAGTTGATTTACCTCTTAAAGATGGTGATTTCCCATAGCTATGTAAACGTTTACAAGAGGGTTTTATCATATCATATCATATCATATATATCATATATATCATATATCATATATCATATATATCATATATCATATAGCATATATCATACCACATATCATACCATATATCATACCGTATATCATACCGTATATCATACTGTGGATGGATGTGAAATCCTACACCACCATTTCAGGATGCGTTTTCAACTGGTGCTTCGGATCTCCAAGACCCGCACACTTCGTCCATCTCCAAGACCCACTCATGCGGCACGCCGGCCTGGGGGGCCCCGGTTGATCCAAACAAAAAACGGTAGATGGTCATCATCCCGTTATAATATGTTATAATATGTTACTAAGAGTAAACTATCGGATTATATGATATGTGGGTAAAAATTTACTATTTACATCTATTTACTATAAATGGTGGATGTAGATGGTGTTACAATCATTCCTATTTCATCCCACGATGCTTCCGTTGTGTTTCGATTCGGAATCCCAAGAGTTCCTGATTTTTGACCAACCATCATGGGGATGGCAAAGCCAAACATGGTGATGACTGGATGTAGACGGTAAACATTGGCGAAAACTGGTACTACTTTGAAAAAAAGGCTGGGATGCCTTTAAGTCCAACAGGTATCCATCATGGTATAGTAATATTCAGGATGGTTTTGAATTGGGTTTACCGCATTGATTTCTGGTTGGTGGTTGACCTAACCATCTTGAAAAATATTAGTCATCAGTTGGGATGATGACATTCCCAATATATGTAAAAAGAAAAAATGTACCAAACCACCACATAGATTTCTATAGATTTAGTGGAGATGTCCATGAAATCCACAAGCATCCATCAGTAAAGTCTTGCTGTTTCCAATCATGTATTGTGATCATCCCCAATGCAAACTTGATAGGATAACCATGTATAACCAGTGTTAACTAAACAAAAAACATCAACCTTAGTATTCCCATCCCCCTGATATTAAACACCCCCTTGTATGGCCCCGGTCATATGTGGTTTCATCCTCTACTAAACGATGGCTTAAATATAAGGGATGTTTGATATTAGGATGTTTAATATCAGGGGGATTAGTGTTATAACCAGTATAAGCCAACAGGGATATATAAGTTATATTAACCAATAATAACCAATATTATGTTAGGGTTATATTGTCATATTATAGCTATGCTATATATTCATTCACCAATCGGATAGGATACCCTCTGGTAATTTGTTACATAGCTATTGAAAATGACCATAGAAATAGTGGATTTTCCCATGAAAAATGGTGGATCTTTCCAGTTCGCTATGTAAACGTTTACCAGAGGGTATTTGTCTAGTATAATCTCTATGATTACAGGGATTCATGATAAATTATGATAAATTCATTCACCAATTGGATAGGATACCCTCTGGTAATTTGTTACATAGCTATTGAAAATTGTGATTTATAGTGGATTTTCCCATGTTTTTTTTTTCCATAGTTTTTTGTATGTTTACCAGAGTAACCAGTGTAACTATAGCCAGTGTTTATTACTGCACTGCTCATCCACCTCTGCCAGCAGCACGTTCATCTGCCCGGGCATGCGGCCAGCCACTGGGTGAACTCCTGAGACCGCTTGGAACGCTTGGTTTATGAAGCTTCACAATCTAGTTACAATCCTTTATAAAACCATATTAGTGTGTATATGAATGGTTCACAATCTAATTACTGGTTTTACGCCCTTCCATATATATAATTAATATATTAATATATATATATATACATGTGTGTGTGTGTCATCTCAACCAATCATCCCTTTTGTATGATTTAAAAACATATCATTAAATACTTAAACACGGCAACCAGCCAATGTCATCTGTTTATCAATGATCGTCTGCTTCAAAAATCTGTGATCTGCTTGTCGTAATCCATTTAGAGGTGAATTTACAGTGAGGCCCCCGTCCGAAAAACTCGTGACCTGGTTGCCATATGTTGCCGTCATATCCGCATTTAGAGTCTAATATATTCAAGATTGTCAAGTAGCCATCCAAGTTTGACCCAACTCAAAATCGTCACTCGGAAGGAACCAGTTACAAAGTTACTTCCATTGGTACCAGGAAAAAGCGATACGATTGACCTGAAAAACATTGACCAACAACTGATAAATGGTTGAAACAACCAAGCTGATGACTAGTCTAAATATGTCCATTGGTGGGGTATCCAAGAAAGGAAACAGAAAAGTGATAGACTTAGATGATCTACGGAAACCACCAATCTGCCACAATTTTTTGAATGCCCCTAATGTCCCCAAAAAAAACTACCTTAAATGAAAGCTGCGCCGCAAATGCGTCCGACAACCCTTCCGCAAAGTTACAACCAACCATGGACAGGATTCAGCTTTGATATCCTTGATATTTCCAGGGTATATATATATATACATTTAACCAACCATGATCATTCTGAATTAAATACTGGAAAATGAATGAACATGATATATACGTCCATACAATTCCTCCGTTCACGCAGCTCAGAATGAAGCCACGACCTCTCACCATTCACCACACCCCGTCTACCCGGATCCGGTTTTTAGAGGTCCCAGAGGCCAAATTTCAACTTGATGTTGTTGGCCCTCAGGGTTGATGCTAACTCACCCATCGCAGTCCTGAGATACATCGAGAGCTGGTTTTTTCAATTGGATGTTCCCCAATCAACCCATCAGAAACCATGTGTCTTGACATATACCAAAAAAGCACCACAGGCCTATACTTCAACCCAAATTTCTCTGAATTAAACTTGCGAACTTGTTTATTAGCTCAATCCCCAAATGTGTCAGTCAACCCTCGAATGTTTCTTGCTCAAACAGTTAAACATCCGCAAAAGGATGCATACACCAAAATGATCCTAAATTGCCATTTGGGCAAAATAAGTTGAGACAGTAATTAACCTCTGGAATTCAAATCATCCCCAAATGGTAGTTCATTCATTATCATCCATTATCCCCATATGTTCATGATTGAATCTCCACAGTATCCCTATTATTTCGGGTTCTAATCCCGATTATCATGTTTTACCACATTTGGTATCTCAAAAGCACCCCACAAAAAAGAGTAAAATATAGTAAAATCCCTGAAGTTCTCACATAATTCTAGACATTGTCCAATTTACCCTCTGGTAAACTAACATAACCATGCAAAATCACAATTTGTCATAGGTAAATCAACTGTAAATGGCCATTTTCAATAGCTATGTTAAATTACCTGAGGGTATATAAGATGATTTCGCTTTTCTATCTCTTGGATCGGTAAAACCAATCCAGGTTTCTGCGCTCGGGCCATAGCCATCCCGTAGCCCGGAACCACCAGCACTTCCTGCGAGCGAAACTGGGAATTTTTAGCGAGCGAAAATTGGAATTCTTTTTGGGGGTCAACTAACAGAGATGTGGAAAAACTCATGAAAACTCCTGGTTTCCCTGGGAAAATGATTACGGCGCTGGAGATTGAGCAAGTGAAAATTGCCATTGGACCGCTACAAAACTGTGGTAAATCCACCAAGAATGGAGGGTTTCACCGCAGCTGATGTCTAAGCTGGCAACAGGACATGTTCATTTTCTGTCAAAATTCAGTCAGGAACATCTGGAAATGGGGATTGTACCTTGTCAAGTTGGATCAGATGATGTCTGGTTGGTGGTTGAGCCTACCCCTCTGAGAAATATGAGTTCGTCAGTTGGGATAATGACATTCCCGATATATGGAAAAAACATGTTCCAAACCACCAACCAGTTATATAATATATATATAAGATTAAACATATGTATAGATGTAAGTAGATGTATCACACATCAATATTGTTGGTGGGTGGATCGGATGTTGGTTAAGTCAAATCATTACTGAATTGGGGTTATGTGCTTATTATAGTATTTATTCATAATATTCATATATTACTCTATATATATGTGTGTGTGTCTAATCATCTATGATTATCTACTATGATCCATTATTATCTATCATTATCCATTATCATAAGGATATAATGAAAATAATAGATTATCTATCATAGAATATTATCATAGATTATCATAATAACTCAATGATCATCAATAGGATGTTATCTATCATTATTCATAGATAGACATGATATCCTGATAATTTATCATAATTTATCATTAATCCCTGTAATCATAGAGATGATACTAGACAAATACCCTCTGGTAAACAGCCACATAACGAACTGGAAAATCACCATTTTTAATGGGAAAATCCACTATTTCTATGGTATAAACTATGGAAAATCACCATTTTTAATGGGAAAATCCACTATTTCTATGGTATAAACTATGGAAAATCACCATTTTTAATGGGAAAATCCACTATTTCTATGGTATAAACTATGGAAAATCACCATTTTTAATGGGAAAATCCACTATTTCTATGGTATAAACTATGGAAAATCACAATTTTTAATGGGAAAATCCACTATTTCTATGGTATAAACTATGGAAAATCACCATTTTTAATGGGAAAATCCACTATTTCTATGGTATAAACTATGGAAAATCACCATTTTTAATGGGAAAATCCACTATTTCTATGGTATAAACTATGGAAAATCACCATTTTTAATGGGAAAATCCACTATTTCTATGGTATAAACTAAAATGGGAAAATCCACTATTTCTATGGTATAAACTATGGAAAATCACCATTTTTAATGGGAAAATCCACTATTTCTATGGTATAAACTATGGAAAATCACAATTTTTAATGGGAAAATCCACTATTTCTATGGTATAAACTATGGAAAATCACCATTTTTAATGGGAAAATCCACTATTTCTATGGTATAAACTATGGAAAATCACAATTTTTAATGGGAAAATCCACTATTTCTATGGTATAAACTATGGAAAATCACCATTTTTAATGGGAAAATCCACTATTTCTATGGTATAAACTATGGAAAATCACCATTTTTAATGGGAAAATCCACTATTTCTATGGTATAAACTATGGAAAATCACCATTTTTAATGGGAAAATCCACTATTTCTATGGTATAAACTATGGAAAATCACCATTTTTAATGGGAGACATAACCAGAGGGTATCTCCTTATCTCCCAGATCCCCATCCTTGGCTGAGGCCAACATCTCGGCCACCGCTGCCACGCTGGTCTCCACGTGTTCCTTCGGCCCGGTGTCGTTGCCTCAACCGCGAACGGAGGAGATCCAGGGGCCGTCGAAAATCGCTGGAAATTCGACAGGAAATATGTGTAAATACTATATATCATATTATATATATACATATATATATATATTATGAATATATATATACCAGTAGTACCCGCACGAGGCGGGGCGGAAGTTGCCTTAAAGATATATATAAGACCTTTCTCATCTATAGAACTTGCATGCGCCGTGCGCCAGCCAAGCCCGTGCGTGCGTGCACTCTGCGAAAGTGGTGTCCTGTTTCACATGTCACATTTGAAGGTCCACTTCGCCCTTCACACTTCTCACTGCACTCTTCACACTCCACACTGCACACTTCACACTTCACACTTCACACTCCACACTTCTCACTTCACACTGCACTCTTCCCAATCCACACTTCACACTTCACTGCACGCTTCCCACTGCACACTCCACACTTCACACTTCACACTCCACACTTCACACTTCACACTCCACACTTCACACTGCACTCTTCACGCCCCACACTTCACACTGCACTCTTCACACTCCACACTTCATCTCATCTGAGCTCTTCTCACCTTATCCCAGCTCATCTCTTCTCATCTCATCTCTTCTCATATGTCATCTAAGCTTTCATGAATCACTTCCCAGTACTTCTACAAAGGAACTGGATCTCGACGCCAAAGCGACAAAAAGACGATTTTGAAGCACTTTTTAAAAGGAATTTTAAAAGGAATGCAGCATGCAGCCGGTGCACCCATCCTGTTCTGATTCGCATTCCCCAGTTTCTTCACAAACTTTGAATTCCTTATGTGTCCCTTTTTTACCATACCTTTTTTTGCTTGGCATCACACAGAAACTGTTTTAGTTTTGCATCAAACACCATTGAAGCTACATGTCTTTACTTCAGAAGTAAGCAGAACTCAGCAAGCTTTTCAAGCAGAGAAGCTTTTACACACAGAAGCTTTTACACAGAACAAGCTTCTTCACAGAGAAGCTTTCACACACAGCAAGCGTTTACACACAGAACACTTACACACAGTGCTTTTACACATGGCAAGCGTTTACACACAGAAACTTTTGCACAGAGACGCTTTTACACACAGAGAGGCTTTTACACACAGCAAGCTTTTACACACAAAAGCTTTTTCACACAGCAAGCTTTCAAACACAGCAAGCGTTTACACACAGAACACTTACACACAGTGCTTTTACACATGGCAAGCGTTTACACACACACAGCAAGCTTTTTAAACAGAGAAGCTTTTACACACAACAAGCTTTTACACAGAGAAGCTTTACACAGCAAGCTTTCACACACAGCAAGCTTCTTCACAGAGAAGCTTTTACACACAGCAAGCTTAAACACAGCAAGCGTTTACACACAGAACACTTACACACAGTGCTTTTACACATGGCAAGCGTTTACACACACACAGCAAGCTTTTTAAACAGAGAAGCTTTTACACACAACAAGCTTTTACACAGAGAAGCTTTTACACACAGCAAGCTTTCACACACAGCAAGCGTTTACACACAGAACACTTACGCACAGTGCGTTTACACATGGCAAGCGTTTACACACACAGAAACTTTTACACAGAGACGCTTTTACACACAGAGAAGCTTTTACACACAGCAAGCTTTTACAGAAAAGTTTTTGCACAGAGAAGCTTTCTTGTACATAATCACAACAGGAATTGCAGCTCCAAAACTGGATCTCGACGCCAAAGCGACAAAAAGACGATTTTGAAGCACTTTTTAAAAGGAATTTTAAAAGGAAAATTATTAGCGCCAAAATTGAGAAAATCTGCTGACAAATCACTTTCGCAGCCTTGATGCAGCCCTTCCAATACGATTTACGATCTTCAGCTGCAAAAGACAATAGTATTACGCATGCAGCCGCTGCACCAAGCAACCTTGACGCAGCCACTACAATGCGATCTGCAGAGACTGAGTTGCAAAACACAATAGAACTACGTGCAATGGCGTCGGAAATTGCAGCTCCAAAACCGGGATCTCGACGCCAAAGCGACAAAAAGACGATTTTGAAGCACTTTTTAAAAGGAATTTTAAAAGGAAAATTATTAGCGCCAAAATTGAGAAAATCTGCTGACAAATCACTTTCGCAGCCTGGATGCAGCCACTCCAATACGATTTACAATCTTCAGCTGCAAAAGACAATAGTATTACGCATGCAGCCGCGGCACGAAGCAACCCCAGCCGCACCCGTCGCACACACGAGGTACCTTTCATCGTCGCCTGCAGCCACTTTACACGGAAAAACGCACGGTTTCGTGCTCCAGCTTCCTCCCTAAAACATAGCCCATGCAACATCATGCAGCCATTCCAATGCGATCTGCAACCGGAGATTCCAAAACACACTATAACTACGCACACACAAGCACACCCAAAGCAGCTTCAAGCCACCGTTACACTGCGGCAAAAAAAAACGACCAACCGACCCCGGCCGCACCCGTCGCACACACGAGGTATCTTTCATCGTCGCCTGCAGCCACTTTACACGGAAAAACACACGGTTTCGTGCTCCGGCTTCCTCCCCAAAACATAGCCCATGCAACATCATGCAGCCATTCCAATGCGATCTGCAACCGGAGATTCCAAAACACACTATAACTACGCACACACAAGCACACCCACAGCAGCTTCAAGCCACCGTTACACTGCGGCAAAAAAAAAAACGACCAACCGACCCCAGCCGCACCCGTCGCACACACGAGGTACCTTTCATCGTCGCCTGCAGCCACTTTACACGGAAAAACACACGGTTTCGTGCTCCGGGCTTCCAGCCCATGCAACATCATGCAGCCATTCCAATGCGAGCTGCAACCGGAGATGCCAAAACACCCTATAACTACGCACACACAAGCACACCCAAAGCAGCTTCAAGCCACCGTTACACTGCGGCAAAAAAAAACGACCAACCGACCCCAGCCGCACCCGTCGCACACACGAGGTACCTTTCATCGTCGCCTGCAGCCACTTTACACGGAAAAACACACGGTTTCGTGCTCCGGCTCCCTCCCCAAAACATAGCCCATGCAACATCATGCAGCCATTCCAATGCGATCTGCAACCGGAGATTCCAAAACACACTATAACTACGCACACACAAGCACACCCAAAGCAGCTTCAAGCCACCGTTACACTGCGGCAAAAAAAAAACGACCACCCGACCCCAGCCGCACCCGCCGCACACACGAGGTACCTTTCATCGCCGGCTGCAGCCACTTTACACGGAAAAACACAAGGTTTCGTGCTCCGGCTTCCTCCCCAAAACAGAGCCCTTGCAACATCATGAAGCCATTCCAATGCGATCTGCAAGCACAGATTCCAAAACACCCTATAACTACGCACACACAAGCACACCCAAAGCAGCTTGAAGCCACCGTTACACTGCGGCAAAAAAAAAACGACCAACCGACCGCAGCCGCACCCGCCGCACAGACGAGGTACCTTTCATCGCCGGCTGCAGCCACTTTACACGGAAAAACACAAGGTTTCGTGCTCCGGCTCCCTCCCCAACACAAAGCCCATGCAACATCATGCAGCCATTCCAATGCGATCTGCTACCACAGCTTCAAGAAACGCATAGAACTACGCACACAGGAACAACCCCTCGTTGCAAAACACATAGGAGGAACAATTCGCGACAGAAACGACCGCAGCCGCAACCGCCGCACAGACGAGGTACCTTTCATCGCCGGCTGCAGCCACTTTACACGGAAAAACACAAGGTTTCGTGCTCCGGCTTCCTCCCCACAACATAGCCCATGTAAGATTCATGCACCCATTCCAATGCGATCTGCAACCAGCGCTTCAAGAAACGCATAGAACTACGCACACAGGAACAACCATTTCTTGCAAAACACATAGGAGGAACGATTCGCGCACAAAACGACCCCAGCCGCACCCGTCGCACAGACGAGGTACCTTTCATCGCCGGCTGCAGCCACTTTACACGGAAAAACACAAGGTTTCGTGCTCCGGCTTCCTCCACACAACATAGCCCATGTAACATTCATGCACAGACGAGGTACCTTTCATCGCCGGCTGCAGCCACTTTACACGGAAAAACACAAGGTTTCGTGCTCCAGCTTCCTCCCCAAAACATAGCCCATGCAACATCATGCAGCCATTCCAATGCGATCTGCAACCGGAGATTCCAAAACACACTATAACTACGCACACACAAGCACACCCAAAGCAGCTTCCCTTCGTCACCACTTCCCTTCGTCACCACTTCCCTTCGTCACCACTTCCCTTCTTCACCACTTCCCTTCGTCACCACTCCCCTTCATCATCACTTCCCTTCGTCACCACTTCCCATCGTCACCACTTCCCTCCGTCACCACTTCCCTTCGTCACCACTTCCCATCGTCACCACTTCCCTTTGTCCACTTCCCATCGTCACCACTTCCCTTCGTCACCACTCCCCTTCATCATCACTTCCCTTCGTCACCACTTCCCATCGTCACCACTTCCCTCCGTCACCACTTCCCTTCGTCACCACTTCCCATCGTCACCACTTCCCTTCGTCCACTTCCCATCGTCACCACTTCCCTTCGTCACCACTTCCCATCGTCACCACTTCCCTTCGTCACCACCCCCCCCCGTCACCACTTCCCTTCGTCACCACTTCCCTTCGTCACCCTTCATGTACTCTCACACCACCCTTCATGTAAAGTCTCACACCACCCTTCATCAAGGTCAAGTCTCAATGTGATGTATTGTTATGTCATGTAAAGTCTCACACCACCCTTCATCAAGGTCAAGTCTCAATGTGATGTATTGTTATGTCATGTAAAGTCTCACACCACCCTTCATCAAGGTCAAGTCTCAATCGCGCACCACCCTTCATCATTTCAAGTCTCAGAATTCTATTTGTCCGTAACACGGAAGTATTGCTTCCCAACTTCCTTTGATTATATGATTATGTTTATTTGTACATCTCCAATTTCGAATCATCCATTTTTTTTCATAATAGGTAAGTCTGCAATTTTTGAATCATGAATCATCCGATCCCTATGGATCCAAGTATCTTAATCAAAAGTGTTTGGAGGATGGTTTGGAAGGTGAAGTAGCTTCTCAGGAGGTGTTTGGATCATTTTGGATCCATAGTGAATGTTTTACAAGTAAATATCCAATTTCCAATCATCAATGTTGCTACCCTCTGGTAATTTAACATAGCTATTGAAAATGACCATTTATAGTGGATTTTCCCATTAAAAATGGTGATTTTTGATAGTTATGTTAAATTACCAGAGGCTAATCATCATTTTTTTCAGAATTTAGTGGCCTTGAGAGTTGGACCGTGATTATCCACTTGTTCGAAGCTTTCCGGGAGCATCAAATATGGTACCTGCATGTGTCCGTGTTTTTTCTACCTTCAAACAATCCTGGGATGAATGGGTTTTGGACCCATAAAACGTAAAAATCCAGCACTTCTTGAATTTCCCTTGATTTTGATGATACGAGTGATGGGGTTCAAAATCTTTTTCAGAGCTCCTCTCAAAGACGCGATGATTTTGCCCGGGCCGCCCCCTCCAGACCCCCACCTTTCGCCACGGGAGCGTTGTTGAGACCTCCAAAGAGCACGTTCATGATGTCACGATTCATGGCGTCACACCTCGATGATGCTGATTTTTGTTGACCCCCCGTTGAAGTGTGGATATTGCATATATAACAATGGAGTATAAATTATCTATATAAATTATCAATATAAATTATCTATAAATGATCTACTATAATGTTATAATATGATTTATGCTGATAAAACACGGATCCTAAGTGGGATGCATCCCCAAGGTGTCCTGTTCTGGATGATCACCAGCCATCCACCCGAGTTCAGTTCACCCGAGATTGCTGAATTACGGAATGGGACAATGGTGGCATATGGTGGCTAGTGACATCCCCAAGATTCGGCTGATATGTACCACGATCTCCCCCTCTTTTTGTATTGATGGCTGTCATCCTCTTTCCATGTTTCTTACCTACAACTCCCGTGTTTGATCAGTTTTGCTGGCTTTTCCAACGATTTTTCTCAGATCTCCCCCATCTTTCGTGGGCACCCCGTGGCACTTCGCCGACCAAGCGTCATGATCTTGGTGAGGATCGCTCCGCTAAAGCCGATCAAGGAGCCAACGATGGTCAGCACCGGACTCTTCAGCAGAAAGCCCTGCTTTTCGGCATCCGATTCAGTCATGTTCTGGTTGGTGGTTGACCTACCCCTCTGAAAAATGGTCAGTTGCAGTTATTCTTCCCAATATATGGAAAAAGAAAAAATGTTCCAAACCACCAACCAGTTTGATTCTGGGAAGATGATGGAACATGTGGCTGGGAAACTCTAATTGTAGCTCCGAATCGCTCCTCAATAGGGAATGTGCCCCTGGATAGATGATGGATAGATGATGAAACAACTGGTTTATTAGTCTGATACAATGGGGATATACTGGGATTCATAACAATACCCATAAAAAGTCGATGATAAACCAGTGAGTAACTGTTGTTTCCAAATCAACCCATATTGTGGGTAGCGAAAGGAACAACATTAGATGTGGGACCCAAATGACCCAATATCCAAGGCTATCACCAAGTCAGGGCTTCACCAAACAAACTGGTGGATACTGTACCCTTTTTGGTCCAAGATTGCTGGGACATCCCCTTTATGAATGGGTTAGATTGCCAGTTATTTGCGGCTAGAATCAACATGTTTGTGGGTCCAATCACCATTTCTGCTGGTAAAATCATATCAATCAACTATATACCTAGACCCTCCAAGTACGTTGAAATATGTGGTAATTTTTTATCCATTATCTTGGGACTTTTACCCATTTTTATGGGTACTTCGTGGTTTCAAACACATTCAACTGAAATCAATCCAAATCCAACCTAAATCAACTAATACTAATACCATCCATCCACGTTTGGAGAGCGCGGAAAGTTCGTTGGAAAGTCGCGCCTCCGCTACCAAGGCCCAGCCGGAGTAGGAGTTGAGCACGGTGATGCACACGGGCATGTCGCCACCACCCACGGAGCCCACTAAATGGACACCCATGACCTCAGTTCGGCGCTGAGCTGTTTCAGCTGAGCCCGGGATTCGTTTCGGACTTTTCGATGTTCCATGGGATTGAAGGATTTCGATCTTCATGTGAATGGATTTTCAGGGATTTCAATGGAGTTTCATGGGATTTTCATGGGATTTCGATGGGGATTTCGATTTCGATGTTCTGTGGAAACTCTGCAGGAACCACCAATCCATTTAGGGGCGACGTTTTCGGATAAGACGATTTCGATTGATTTCTGGAGTTTTATGGATGTACATGGACCATCTCTGCTAGTCTAGCTGGTTGGTGGTTTTTCGCCTACCCCTCTGAAAAATGATGGAGTTCGTCAGTTGGGATGATGACATTCCCAATATATATATATATATGGAAAAACCAAAAAAACATGTTGCAAAAACCACCAACCAGCTAGTATATGTTGATGGATTTTAACCACCAACCAGCCTTTTTTCACCCATACTTTTTGGGGGGGTTCAACTGACTGGAAGTTGGACGATGTGAAATTTCTGATTCATGGCCTTTCATGGCCTATGGTTGTGCCACCAAAAAAGCTGCAACATGTTGGAGTGCGCGAGTCTTTCTGTACGAATTTCCAAATAAAATGGAAGGTACCCTCTGGTAAACTAACATAAGTATGGAAAATCACCATTCTTAATCGGAAAATCAACCATAAATGGCCATTTTCAATAGCTATGTTAAATTACCAGAGGGTAAACAAAACTCTAGTTTTGGAAAGATGTAGAAACCTCCAGCTTCTTAGTCACATCACCCCATCCTCCACAGAGAAAAGCCCAGGAGTTCCACCATGAGTTCACTCAGAGTGCCCCGGTGCTGCAGAGCGACACAGGCCAAAGCTGCCACCAGCCACAGAATCACAACACCACCAGGACCTATGCCAAGTGGATCCGGTTGGTGCTTGAGGCACCAAAGTTACCAAAGACTGAAAAAGATGATTTGGATGATTTGGTCAAGTATACTGGGGTGAAGGTCATCCACTGGAACCATGATGAAAACTATTGATGCCAGGATCCAATCAGCCAGCGATGGGAAAATATTGATGCCCCGAAAATCCCCGGATAAAAAAAAACATACCGCGCCTGAGGTTCCCAAAAACTTGAACATGAAGAACAAGAAGAGGAACAGTCCGCCCAAGTTCAGGAAGTTCTTGCCTGGCACTCGGCCGGTTCAGCCGGTTCAGCAAGGCATCTCTGCAAACCGCAGATCTCGATCAAATTTCTCCATCCAAAATGGCAGCACATCCATTCAAACAAATTCACCCACCCATTGCCAAGCACAAAAAAAGTTTCTTTTACACGAAATTCCTGTCGAAAAGTCCTCATCTACCCTTTACCTCCAATTCCAGTAAATTACTATATATAGCAACTCCCAAAAAGGTGCCGAAAAATAGTTCAGCACACAAATGGATTTGATCCGATTTTATCAACTTCTATGATTTTATCAACCAGTAAATCAACATAGACCCTGGCAGATAGCTTGGAAGATTCGTATTTTTCCCCTGCCTGGCAGATCCAGCGGCTTTGATGCCAAGTTCCCGTTCAGCTTGCCGAAGGCAATGAGACCTGAACGTGGCGCGTGAAAAACCTGGGAAGAACTGAAGAACTGGGAAGAAAAACACGGGGAATACCATCTGGTAATGGGATTTCTGGGATTTTTAATGGGATCTGATGGGAATGAATTTTAATGGGATCTTTGATGGGATCTTTGATGGGATTGTATGGGGGTTTAAGTGTTTTTTGTTTTAATGGAATGTTTAATTTTAATGAGATGTTACAGGGGTTTTATGGGATTTTTAATGAGATTGAATGGTGTGTGTTTCGGGATTTTATTGGAATCATGATGAATTTCATGGGAATGAGAGGATTCCCATTGTCTGTTACATGACGATGGGAACTCAGCATGAAACAAATAGGTCAATCAATGTACCCTCTGGTTATTTAACATAGCCATGGAACATGGCCCATTTATAGATGGTTTACCTATTTAAAATGGTGATTTTCCATGGCTATGTTAAATAACCAGAGGGTACATGTAAATCATCGAATTAAATGGGTCAGTTTCCATAGCCAAGTTACCAAAGATTGGGGATACCAACATTGGTTCATGGTTGGCTTCAACCCACCACAGAACAATTTCTTGCCGGCATGGCACCCTGGTACCGTTATATACCCTGCCACATCAACGAGCTCGCCGTCTTGGATATTCTTGGATGTCTGGTACTCCATCCATTCATATTTACGGAAACATATTGATAAACACAGCATTTCCTAGTACAAATATGTACAAATTTACTATCTTCCAGGATCATCCAAGTGCCAAGTTGCAATCCAATATCATCCAATGCTCAACAAGCTTCTTCACCAGGTTCTTCCCCATATCTTATTTTGATGCGGCCGAAATCCCAAAGTTTGTGTTTTTCACTGAAAAACAACCAGTTGGATCCCAGTTTGTCTTCATGCTCCACCGTCCCCATTCGTTTTTTTGCTTGGATTCCCATCCCCTTCATATCAAACACACCCATGCCAATTGGACATCCCGTATAAATAGAGCTGGGAAAATCATCAATGCTGGATCTTCTAGCAAGCCATGTGTGATTACCGGAGGATATTTATATACTTATATATATATATACATTATACTTATACTATTATATATATATATGTTATATAATGTTATATATAATTATATATATATGTGTTACATATTGATATCTTCCAGGGTTTCTGAGGATTTTCTGAGGATCCCTGACTGCGGGATCCAAATATATAATAAGCCAGGCTCCAAGTCACTGCCCGTCAGAGTGATGCCACCGATGAAATCTCCCAGCACCGCCGCGATGTTCTCCATGTTGGCGCCGGCTTCGGGGGTCTCCACGAAGGAACCAATGGAGGTGCCTATGGAGGCTCCACCATCCCCAAGTCTAGCAACATATGGCTGGTGTATGCTGTACTAACATTGAAACATCATGTTATATATTTTTATGGCTGGTATAAATCCATCAAAATATCATGGTTGGCTGTATGACATTGCTTTACGAACAGATGTTTTGGAAGGAGGAAATAGAGTTGCAAGATGAAGTATGTTCTTTTTGTAACTTTTAGTTCGGGTTTTAGCATGTCTTAGAGCTATACAGACAAACTCGGTGAACAAAATATAAACAACATCCAATGTGTATTATGGAAAGCTAAGGCCTGCCTGATAAAAATACTTGAAGTATAAGGCCTTGTTAAAATGATTGGATGATTAGACGTTGTTCAGCCCTAGTTGTGGGGTTATATCGGTAGCACCCTTGGATCTCCATGAGCCATGTTTGAAAGTTTGATGCAATATTTTGGTGGGTCAACAGCCCAGCCAATATGATCTGATCATCTGTAAATTCGAATAGAAGAGTCTTTTTCGGATGCTCAAAACATGTTTAATGCTAATTTTTAAACATCATATCCATTTCTGATATGCGCTTTGCGAGTTTGCAGCCTTTGAATGGTACCAGAACTGGCAATCAATGGAAGCGCATTCTTCGATGTTGTTCCCCCACTACACGTATGGTATCCCCTATAAATGTAAGGTTTTAATGGGAAAATCGAAAAATCATCTATCAATGGGCTATGTTCAAAAGCTATCTTAAACTATACCAGAGGCTAAAATACTAGCCTCCGAATCACCTCAACTCATAAAAAGTCTCACTCAGGGCGGATTTTTTTTCCAGCCATCTTACATACTCTCTGGGAGAGGCTATTTCACATAGCTATGGCAGCTATGGAGTTGATCCAAGCGACACATGGCCGCCAAACCCACCAGCGAGTGGAAGGCGGCCACCGTCTGTGGCAGCGCTATGGGGCTGACCTGACACACCGGTGGCCGCGAAGGTCTTACTGGGCTGAGTTTATGAGGAACAATTGGGGATATCCTACAATGGGGGTACCCCCAAATGGATGGTTTATCATGGTTTATCATGGTTTATAGTGAAAATCCTATTTAAATTAAAATTGGGATGACCTATTACCTATAGTGATCCCCATTTTAATGACCTATTTTATGATCAGGGTTTTCTTATCATGGTTTATAGTGAAAATCCTATTTAAATTAAAATTGGGATGACCTATTACCTATAGTGATCCCCATTTTAATGACCTATTTTATGATCATGGTTTATCATGGTTTATAGTGAAAATCCTATTTAAATTAAAATTGGGATGACCTATTACCTATAGTGATCCCCATTTTAATGACCTATTTTATGATCATGGTTTATCATGGTTTATAGTGAAAATCCTATTTAAATTAAAATTGGGATGACCTATTACCTATAGTGATCCCCATTTTAATGACCTATTTTATGATCATGGTTTATCATGGTTTATAGTGAAAATCCTATTTAAATTAAAATTGGGATGACCTATTA